ATTAATGTTTTGAAATGGATGTTGTGGCTCACAGGGCTAGTGGCGCAACGGATAAAGCGTCTGACTACGGATCAGAAGATTCTAGGTTCAAATCCTGGCTAGCTCGTATGTTTTGGCAAGGAAATCACTTAAACAATACGTCTCTCCAACATCATCATGATTAGTCACCAACTGCATTAATAACTATAGACTCTATAATGTCAAGCATTCACAGCTTTATTGGAGTCTTATAGGAATTGTTAGTGTTACTTGCTGATCTTCTTTAGTTCAAAAACAAAGTTGGGCCCTGAAGGACAAAGTAAGCATTTGTTGTCACAATATTCAAAATCCCAACTCTGCTATAATATCAATGAATGTGCAACTGAAAACTATTTAATACAGGTGGTATAGCTCAGTGGTAGAGCATTTGACTGCAGATCAAGAGGTCCCTAGTTCAAATCTGGGTGCCCCCTACATCGTTTTTACCCGTGTGTAATGTTATATGTATACAAGCAATGATGTGCAAATCAATTACAAAGCACTCAATGAACAAATGGGCTGTTATCATATAGTTAACCGTACTGTCTGTGTTGCCGCAACAACCCTATTTCGATGCCAGCTTTAATGTTGTTGCTTTAAATCGCTCTATCTTCACTTCTTTTTTTAATGTGCGAGTAGATAACAATGTAGATGAAATGAGCGGAAATATGATATGCAGTCTTCCACCAGTCTATCACAACACATAACTCAGAAAAGCATGGCCATACTGTTGACGCAGATACCAAAGGGAAATGACAGGGCTAGTGGCGCAACGGATAACGCGTCTGACTACGGATCAGAAGATTCTAGGTTCAAATCCTGGCTAGCTCGGATGTTTTAGCAAGGAAATCACTTCAACAATACGTCTCTCCAACATCGTCATGATTAGTCACCAACTGCATTAATACATCTAGACTCTATAATGTCAAGCATTCACAGCTTTCTTGGAGTCTTATAGGAATTGTTAGTGTTACTTGCTGATCTTCTGTAGTTCAAAATCAAAATTGGGCCCTGAAGGACAAAGTAAGTATTTGTTGTCACAATATTCAAAATCCCAACTCTGCTATAAGATCAATGAAGTGCGCGGTGAACCAAGTGGCCGTTTAGTATAGTGGTTAATAAAAAATGTTGTTCTACAATAGTTTCACAGATACTGAATGTGCAACTGAAAACTGTTTAGTACAGGGGGTATAGCTCAGTGGTAGAGCATTTGACTGCAGATCAAGAGGTCCCTAGTTCAAATCTGGGTGCCCCCTACATAGTTTTTACCCGTGTGTAATGTTATATGTATACAAGCAATGATGTGCAAATCAATTACAAAGCACTCAATTAACAAATGGGCCGTTATCATATAGTTAACCGTACTGTCTGTGTTGCCGCAACAACCCTATTTCGATGCCAGCTTTAATGTGGTTGCTTTATCTTCACTTATATTTGCAATTTGTCAGTGTAACTTATGATATCATATCACATAAGAAAACAATGTAGATTAAATGAGAGTAAATATGATATTCAGTCTTCCACTAATCTGTCATAACATAGAACTCAGAAAAACATCTTGCCATAATGTTGACGCAGATACCAAAGGGAAATCACAGGGCTAGTGGCGCAACGGATAACGCGTCTGACTACGGATCAGAAGATTTTAGATTCAAATCCTGGCTAGCTCAGATCCCTTTAGACAGGAAATCACTTTAACAGTACATCTCTCCAATATATATATGAATAGTCATTGAACATCTGGTACTATGGGTTAATGGGCTTTCAGCAACTGCATAAATAACCCCGAACCCTATAATGTCAAACATTCCCAGCATTCATGGAAGCTCGTAGGGCTTTTTAGAATTACTTGCTAATCATCTGTTTTTTCAAAAACAAAATTCGGCCCTGAATGACAAAATCCTTTAAAGTATGTTGTCACACAATATCAAAGTTCCAACTCTGCTATAAGAATGAAGCGCTTGTGGCCGTTTTAGTATAGTGGGTAGTACTCAGCGTTGGGGCCACACAGATAAACATGTTTTTCCCCTGCAGTAATGTCCCAGAGACTCTATAATCAACTGATAAGAAAACAATGTAGATTAAATGAGAGGAAATATAATATCCAGTCTTCCACCAATATATCACAACACAGAACTCAGAAAAACATCTTGCCATACTGTTGACGCAGATACTAGCGGGAAAACACAGGGCTAGTGGCGCAACGGATAACGCATCTGACTACGGATCAGAAGATTCTAGGTTCAAATCCTGGCTAGCTCGGATGTTTGAGCAAGGAAATCACTTCAACAATACGTCTCTCCAACATCGTCATGATTAGTCACCAACTGCATTAATAACTCTAGACTCTATAATGTCCTATATCCTTTTACCATTACTACACAGGAGGGTTGGAGAGTGATCCAGACGCAGACACAAATAAATGAATTTCCAGTCCTCTGGTGCAGTTTATTAGATTACATGTTACTTGTTAGACGCTTTTATCCAAAGCGACTTACATACTCAATACTGTGGACATCCCCACTGGAGCAATTTTTATAGCAAGTTTATAATGATGTTTTATTTAGCGTTTACATACCAAGGTTTAATTACAGTCAATAGTTGTGGTGAGCATCTGCCGGGCTGGTGAAATCGGTATGCTCTCTTCCTCCTGTGTCCCGTCCTTTCCTGTCACCTATGACCCCTTTTATACACCCGGTGCAGCTAAACCCCGCCACCAAGTGTTTAAAATAGTATTGCACTATACATATAAATTAAATAAACTGACATGCCATCAACACCCATAAAATAGCTCCTACATATGTTGTCACACAATATCAAAGTTCCTACTCTGCTATAAGAATGAAGCGCTTGTGGCCGTTTCAGTATAGTGGTTAGTACTCAGCGTTGTGGCCACACAGATAAACATGTTTTTCCCCTGCAGTAATGTCCCAGAGACGCTATAATCAACTGATAGCAGGTTACCAGAGGGGGTATAGCTCAGCGGTAGAGCCTTTGACTGCAGATCAAGAGTTCCCCAGTTCAAATCTGGGTGCCCCCTACATAATTTGAACCTGTGTTTAATGTTATATGTATACAAGCAATGATGTGTTGATCAACTACAAAGCACTCAATGAACAGAGGGGCCGTTATCATATAGTTAACCGTACTGTCTGTGTTGCCGCAACAACTCTATTTCGATGCCAGCTTTAATGTTGTTGCTTTAAATCGCTCTATCTTCACTTCTTTTTTTAATGTGTGAGTAGATAACAATGTAGATGAAATGAGCGGAAATATGATATGCAGTCTTCCACCAATCTATCACAACACAGAACTCAGAAAAGCATGTGGCCATACTGTTGACGCAGATACCAAAGGGAAATCACAGGGCTAGTGGTGCAACGGATAATGCATCTGACTACGGATCAGAAGATTCTAGGTTACAACATATAATAAGTACCCTGTATCAAGATTGATGCAAAACAAGTGATATTTGACCTTTTTAGACAGATTTAGCAAAAAAAAACCTCTTCTGGGGCCATTTGGGTGGATTTTCCATATCTCTGGCCCCCCTTGTTCGATTTTGACATGTGACATCTCTTTCTGACCGTTAGAGCCAATAGAATCCAAGGGAAATCGTCCCGCACACACTCATGTTTAAAAAAAATGGTGGCCTCTCTGCTCATGCTAGCTTGCAGGAGAGGGGAGAAATATCGCTGCTCTGATATCAAGCAACGGAAAAGCTGTTTTATTGCTTATGGATTATCAGAACATTTCAAAGGGGACGCAGTCACATTGGATTAACCTATGGATTAACTACACCATCGTTTGTAATCGTTTTAATGCCATTGAAGACCAGTTTAGACCAGACAAAGATGAAGGTAAGCCATGTTAGCGTTGTGGGCTACCTAGTGCCACTTGTTTTGATGTACGTTTTTGTTGATAACGTCGCGAGTTTGTATCTTTCAGTGTTGAGGTGGGCACCGTTAGATTCTGTGTCTCCTTGCGATCATAAACGATGTGTTGGGTGTGCACCTAGGATAAGTAATAAGGGAGCTAGGAGTGATTATCGGTGCAGTAATAGGTTAGCATTTTTCGCTCAGGGGTCATTTAGATGCTTCTTATGAGACTTGTGTTTTGTTTTGGTAAAAATTGTTTCTATCGTCAGTTAGCTGAGATTATTCCCGTTAATCTGGTATAACACATTAATAGATTCTTAAATATTAAGATCCCCTGAGACACAGTGTCGTGAAAAAAAAAACTAAAGTATCAGCCGTCGGGGACCTTCGGGCTTAACAGGTTAACATTGAAATATCAGTTTATATGACAAATAGTTTGTTTAAAAACGTTTATTTATTTTTGCCTTTTTTGGAATAAACTATCTTACTTTTCAATAGCATCTGGACATTTATATTTTTTCTCTCAAACTACAAGCGCCTATTCGTCGGTCAGCCCCACGACTGCCACGAGTGAATCAAATGATGTGTAAATCAAACTATGCTATCCTTAGCTATCTCATAATCTGTCATTAACGACGAATCCACTATAATCCATAATCATTCATTCTAAAAGAGTGTAGCCCTAAAATCAAAATAAACCCGAAATTGAATTCCCAGATCTTTATAGATGGCAGCTCTTACCCAGCTAAAACCCAATACAGTTTGTTTTTTTCACCTTTTTGCTCCTTCTTTCAAGATCTATGTTCATGTTGTCTTATGGGTTGTTCTCTTTCACAGTTTGTGACAAAGTACATTTTTTGTTGTTGTGGAAAATTGTTTTTGACCCAGAGGTAAAAATATTAAAGAGGCAATGGTTTACAGACATAATGTTAAAAGGACACGTTACACTTGCCTTCAAAATGGTTTATTCCCAACTCTAACAGCTCTTCTACCTATCTATCTATCTAATTTCATGTACTGCCAATTTACTAGTGAACATACCATAAGATTGGAGACCTAAATATAAATACACAGGATCAACATCATATTTTTTTATTCCAGACAATGACAAATTACTGTAGGTAAAATCATCCATAACAAAATAAACATTCCTTACATTTACATTGTTCAGCATTTTTAAGTGTAATCAGAGATTCCAGTTCAATTTATTATTTGCTTTTAATTACCGAGCGTGCCGCCCTATATCCACGACATTATGGCTGTTAATATACTCTGGCTATCTGGCTGAGCATGGTGGGCTCTTAGGATTGGATGTGTTCAGGCTGTTTAGAGACGGAGATGTAACTGATGCAGGAGAGTCTCTCTCTATCCGGCTGGAGTGGTTTGATCTCTGCCTGGAAGTGGATTGTGATGACTGGGCCTCTGGGTCTGGTATTTGCATGGCATTAAGATCCAGAATACGACCTGCATAAAAAGTGCAAAACAGAGTAATGTAACAAGAATTGACTGCGGGGCTGACCTTCTGACAAAAGAGTAGAGCTGAAACAATTAGTTAGTTTATAGAATAGTCTATTAACAGAATATTATTTGGAAAGATTTCTGATAACCGATGAAGTCCTTTGACCAGATAATGCAAAGATTCATTAGTTTCAGATTCTCTAATGTTCTTTTGGTTAAGACTGTTTGCCAGTTTTTAAAGATCGGGGAAAATGTCACAGGCATTTGACACACTTACCTTCAAAACCTCTCTTAAAGAGCACCTTCGGGGGAGAGCATTGCAAAACTGGCCCCGGTAATGGTACAAATCTCAACCTGTCGTTCAATGGACAGCTTCCCCCCCCCCCATCTATGTATATACTCGCATTTTAGACTCTGTTACTAACTGTATATCTGTAGACTTGGTATGTCTTAAATGTCCGGTTAGGATGTATTAGAACGAAATCTAAAATGAAAATTGTAAATAAGCAATCTGTATGTAAAAAACCACCTGTATGTAAATTGTAAATAAGCCATCTGTATGTCTTATATGTCTTAAATGACATGATGAATTGGAAATGGGGGACCCTGATGTAAACAAGACGAAAGTCTTTCTCTGGTCTGCATCCCCTTAACAATTGTATGTTTTGAGCTGTACTGTACTGTACCCAATATACAAGCTGTTAATACACTTTTCAATCAATCAATCAATCCTGAGATGGTTAGGCCAAACGTTTAATCACGAGAAAAATTAGCAACTTAATCAATGATGAAAATTGTAAACATCATGGACTTCCTCAAGTTAAGTTTTAAAGAAGTTTTGAGACTGTGACAATTGTGTTGTGGCTCTATGGAGGGCAGATTCATTAGGACAATTGTATCCAGACTAAATGATCACCATCACATCTTGTACAGATACTCAAGGTACACCAGAGGATCCTGATGACTTTGGGGTTAAGTTGTCTTTTGTGGTATATGCTGATTAGCGACCATTAACATGCTAAACATTGGTGGTGTACAAGGTAAACAGCTTGCTAATGCAGCATTAGAGAGAACAAGTGGTGACTGTTTTGTCTTGAGTCCACAAAGGTGTAAAACAGTGTCATGTCCTTTATTTACCAATTTGCAATGTGGTCTGATCCAGCATGTAGAGGTAAGGGAGGTAGATGTTGCTTGGTCCAGGAGGAGGGAAGCACATTTTTCCATCATCCAACACCACTCTCTGACCAAAAACACTTAGCTGAAGAAAATGGAGAAAAAGTGATTTTAAGCTTTTTGAATTCTGACTAGTAGAAGTATATAAATGCATGTTTGTGTATTTGTTTACCTGCTTTTTAAGTAGTTTCTGTGTCAGTTTGAGAAGTGTGATGCTCTGTACTCCTCTTAGGTCGCTGAGCAGCAGAGTGGCCCGAGCCAGAGTCAGGCTGGATCCTGGAGGCATCGATGTGTGTCCGGACAGCAGGGCCACTGCTTCCTACTCATATGCATTCAGAGAAACAACACAGGAGTACTTTAAATACTTAATATCAATACATTTGTGACACTTCATAGACACAGCAGCAGGCGACAGAAAAAGACAGCAACTTCAGAAGAAATTCTAAATATATATTAATCAATTAAAAAGGCTTTCCTTTAAGTTTTATAATGGACCGCTTACTGAGCAGTGCTTGATAGAATCCTAAGTGTCAGTTGTCGCACATCACATAAAACAGGAGGCATTTGATATTCAGAGTTCCAAGAATGCTATCAAAATAACAAAGTACTTAAACATGTGGTCGTGATCGTATAGTGGGTAGTACTCTAGGTTGTGGCCGCAGCAACCCCCGTTTGGAATGTGGGTCACGGCAGGGGTAAGCTGGTCCTTTGTTGTGGCTTTAACTCCCTTTGTCTCTATTAATGTTTTGAAATGGATGTTGTGGCTCACAGGGCTAGTGGCGCAACGGATAAAGCGTCTGACTACGGATCAGAAGATTCTAGGTTCAAATCCTGGCTAGCTCGTATGTTTTGGCAAGGAAATCACTTAAACAATACGTCTCTCCAACATCATCATGATTAGTCACCAACTGCATTAATAACTATAGACTCTATAATGTCAAGCATTCACAGCTTTCTTGGAGTCTTATAGGAATTGTTAGTGTTACTTGCTGATCTTCTGTAGTTCAAAAACAAAGTTGGGCCCTGAAGGACAAAGTAAGTATTTGTTGTCACAATATTCAAAATCCCAACTCTGCTATAAGATCAATGAAGTGCATGGTGAACCAAGTGGCCGTTTAGTATAGTGGTTAATAAAAAATGTTGTCCTACAATAGTTTCACAGATACTGAATGCGCAATTGAAAACTATTTAATACAGGGGGTATAGCTCAGTGGTAGAGCATTTGACTGCAGATCAAGAGGTCCCTAGTTCAAATCTGGGTGCCCCCTACATAGTTTTTACCCGTGTGTAATGTTATATGTATACAAGCAATTATGTGCAAATCAATTACAAAGCACTCAATGAACAGAGGGGCTGTTATCATATAGTTAACCGTACTGTCTGTTTGCCGCAACAACACTATTTCGATGCCAGCTTTAATGTGGTTGCTTTACGTTCACTTATTTTTGCAATTTGTCAGTGTAACTTATGATATCACATAAGAAAACAATGTAGATTAAATGAGAGTAAATTATAGTCAGTCTTCCACTAATCTGTCATAACATAGAACTCAGAAAAACATCTTGCCATACCGTTGACACAGATACCACACGGAGTTCACAGGGCTAGTGGCGCAACGTATAACGCGTATGACTACGGATCAGAAGATTCTAGGTTCAAATCCTGGCTAGCTCGGATCCTTTTAGCCAGGAAATCACTTCAACAGTACATCTCTCCAACGTAAACATGAATAGTCATTAAGTTAACTAAGCGGCGATCGCGTTCACACCGGAAAAAGTTCCTTGAGGGAAGATTACACATATGAAGCCGTTGATGTCACTTCTTCTTCTTCTGCTTTGGGTTTACTGGCAGGCAGCAAACAACTTTACGGCGTATACTGCCAACCGAAGTCCCCGGAGTTGGGGTAGTCGCCAGAACGCCGACACCTCCTCATCACTCCACCGCTCCAATGTTTTGTTTTGTGTTGCCACAAGTTATTCTCTCTCCGTTGGTGCGCGGGCTAATGCTAATAATGCTAATGCCATCAAATACAATGGCGGCTTCGAAAAACTTTTCCGAGTTTTACGGGGCGTGGTTTGCAATTCGCCCAGCCAATCAGAAATTGGAACCCTATAATGTCAAGCATTCCCAGCATTCATAGGACTTTTTAGAATGACTTGCTAATCATCTGTTTTTTCAAAAACAAAATTCGGCCTTGAATGACAAAATCCTTTAAAGTATGTTGTCACACAATATCAAAGTTCCAACTCTGCTATAAGAATGAAGCGCTTGTGGCCGTTTCAGTATAGTGGGTAGTACTCAGCGTTGTGGCCACACAGATAAACATGTTTTTCCCCTGCAGTAATGTCCCAGAGACTCTATAATCAACTGATAGCAGGTTACCAGAGGGGGTATAGCTCAGTGGTAGAGCATTTGACTGCAGATCAAGAGGTCCCCAGTTCAAATCTGGGTGCCTCCTACATAGTTTGTACCCGTGTTTAATGTTATATGTATACAAGCAATAAGAAAACAATGTAGATTAAATGAGAGGAAATATAATATTCAGTCTTCCACCAATCTATCACAACACAAAACTCAGAAAAACATCTTGCCATACCGTTGACACAGATGGCACAGGGAATTCACAGGGCTAGTGGCGCAACGGATAACGCGTCTGACTACAGATCAGAAGATTATAGGTTCAAATCCTGGCTAGCTCGGATCCTTGTAGACAGGAAATCACTTCAACAGTACATCTCTCCAATATATATATGAATAGTCATTGAACATCTGGTACTATGGGTTAATGGGCTTTCACCAACTGCATAAATAACCCTGAACCCTATAATGTCAAGCATTCCCAGCATTCATGGAAGTTCGTAGGGCTTTTTAGAATTACTTGCTAATCATCTGTTTTTTCAAAAACAAAATTCGGCCCTGAATGACAAAATCCTTTAAAGTATGTTGTCACACAATATCAAAGTTCCAACTCTGCTATAAGAATGAAGCGCTTGTGGCCGTTTCAGTATAGTGGGGTAGTACTCAGCGTTGTGGCCACACAGATAAACATGTTTTTCCCCTGCAGTAATGTCCCAGAGACTCTATAATCAACTGATAAGAAAATAATGTAGATTAAATGAGAGGAAATATAATATTCAGTCTTCCACCAATCTATCACAACACAAAACTCAGAAAAACATCTTGCCATACCGTTGACACAGATGGCACAGGGAATTCACAGGGCTAGTGGCGCAACGGATAACGCGTCTGACTACAGATCAGAAGATTCTGAGTTCAAATCCTGGCTAGCTCGGATCCTTGTAGACAGGAAATCACTTCAACAGTACATCTCTCCAATATATATATGAATAGTCATTGAACATCTGGTACTATGGGTTAATGGGCTTTCACCAACTGCATAAATAACCCTGAACCCTATAATGTCCAGCATTCATGGAAGTTCGTAGGGCTTTTTAGAATTACTTGCTAATCATCTGTTTTTTCAAAAACAAAATTCGGCCCTGAATGACAAAATCCTTTAAAGTATGTTGTCACACAATATCAAAGTTCCAACTCTGCTATAAGAATGAAGCGCTTGTGGCCGTTTCAGTATAGTGGGTAGTACTCAGCGTTGTGGCCACACAGATAAACATGTTTTTCCCCTGCAGTAATGTCCCAGAGACTCTATAATCAACTGATAAGAAAATAATGTAGATTAAATGAGAGGAAATATAATATCCAGTCTTCCACCGATATATCACAACACAGAACTCAGAAAAACATCTTGCCATACTGTTGACGCAGATACTAGCGGGAAATCACAGGGCTAGTGGCGCAACGGATAACGCGTCTGACTACGGATCAGAAGATTCTAGGTTCAAATCCTGGCTAGCTCGGATGTTTGAGCAAGGAAGTCACTTCAACAATACGTCTCTCCAACATCGTCATGATTAGTCACCAACTGCATTAATAACTCTAGACTCTATAATGTCCTATATCCTTTTGCCATTACTACACAGGAGGGTTGGAGAGTGATCCAGACGCAGACACAAATAAATGAATTTCCGGTCCTTTGGTGAAGTTTATTACATTACATGTTACTTGTTAGACGCTTTTATCCAAAGCGACTTACATACTCAATACTGTGGACATCCCCACAGGAGCAATTTTTATAGCAAGTTTATAATGATGTTTTATTTAGAGTTTACATACCAAGGTTTAATTACAGTCAATAGTTGTGGTGAGCATCTGCCGGGCTGGTGAAATCGGTATGCTCTCTTCCTCCTGTGTCTTGTCCTTTCCTGTCACCTATGACCCCTTTTATACACCCGGTGCAGCTAAACCCCGCCACCAAGTGTTTAAAATAGTATTGCACTATACATATAAATTAAATAAACTGACATGCCATCAACACCCATAAAATGGCTCCTACATATGTTGTCACACAATTTCAAAGTTCCAACTCTGCTATAAGAATGAAGCGCTTGTGGCCGTTTCAGTATAGTGGTTAGTACTCAGCGTTGTGGCCACACAGATAAACATGTTTTTCCCCTGCAGTAATGTCCCAGAGACTCTATAATCAACTGATAGCAGGTTACCAGAGGGGGTATAGCTCAGTGGTAGAGCATTTGACTGCAGATCAAGAGGTCCCCAGTTCAAATCTGGGTGCCCCCTACATAATTTGAACCTGTGTTTAATGTTATATATATACTGTACAAGCAATGATGTGTTGATCAATTACAAAGCACTCAATTAACAGATGGGCCGTTATCATATAGTTAACCGTACTGTCTGTGTTGCCGCAACAACTATATTTCGTTGCCAGCTTTAATGTTGTTGCTTTAAATCGCTCTATCTTCACTTCTTTTTTTAATGTGTGAGTAGATAACAATGTAGATTAAATGAGCGGAAATATGATATGCAGTCTTCCACCAATCTATCACAACACAGAACTCAGAAAAGCATGTGACCATACTGTTGACGCAGATACCAAAGGGAAATCACAGGGCTAGTGGCGCAACGGATAACGCGTCTGACTACGGATCAGAAGATTCTAGGTTCAAATCCTGGCTAGCTCGGATGTTTTAGCAAGGAACTCACTTCAACAATACGTCTCTCCAACATCGTCATGATTAGTCACCAACTGCATTAATACATATAGACTCTATAATGTCAAGCATTCACAGCTTTCTTGGAGTCTTACAGGAATTGTTAGTGTTACTTGCTGATCTTCTGTAGTTCAAAAACAAAATTGGGCCCTGAAGGACAAAGTAAGTATTTGTGTCACAATATTCAAAATCCCAACTCTGCTATAAGATCAATGAAGTGCGCGGTGAACCAAGTGGCTGTTTAGTATAGTGGTTAATAACATTTTTTGTCCTACAATAGTTTCACAGATACTGAATGTGCAACTGAAAACTGTTTAATACAGGGGGTATAGCTCAGTGGTAGAGCATTTGACTGCAGATCAAGAGGTCCCTAGTTCAAATCTGGGTGCCCCCTACATAGTTTTTACCCGTGTGTAATGTTATATGTATACAAGCAATGATGTGCAAATCAATTACAAAGCACTCAATGAACAAATGGGCCGTTATCATATAGTTAACCGTACTGTCTGTGTTGCCGCAACAACCCTATTTTGATGCCAGCTTTAATGTGGTTGCTTTATCTTCACTTATATTTGCAATTTGTCAGTGTAACTTATGATATCATATCACATAAGAAAACAATGTAGATTAAATGAGAGTAAATATGATATGCAGTCTTCCACCAATCTATCACAACACAGAACTCAGAAAAGCATGTGACCATACTGTTGACGCAGATACCAAAGGGAAATCACAGGGCTAGTGGCGCAACGGATAACGCGTCTGACTACGGATCAGAAGATTCTAGGTTCAAATCCTGGCTAGCTCGGTTAACTTTAGCCAGGAAATCACTTCAACAGTACATCTCTCCAACGTAAACATGAATAGTCATTAGCCGCTTTCACACCAAATACTTTGCCGTACTTAGTTCCCAGCACTGAGAACCCCCATGGAACTAAGCGGCGATCGCGTTCACACCGGAATAAGTTCCTTGAGGGAAGATTACGCATATGAAGCCGTTGATATCACTTCTTCTTCTTCTGCTTTGGGTTTACTGGCAGGCAGCAAACAACTTCACGGCGTATACTGCCAACCGAAGTCCCCGGAGTTGGGGTAGTCGCCAGAACGCCGACACCTCCTCATCACTCCACCGCTCCAATGTTTTTTATGTGTTGCCACAAGTTATTCTCTCTCCGTTGGTGCGCGGGCTAATGCTAATAATGCTAATGCCATCAAATACAATGGCAGCTTCGAAAAACTTTTCCGAGTTTTACGGGGCGTGGTTTGCAATTCGCCCAGCCAATCAGAAATTGGAACCCTATAATGTCAAGCATTCCCAGCATTCATAGGACTTTTTAGAATGACTTGCTAATCATCTGTTTTTTCAAAAACAAAATTCCGCCCTGAATGACAAAATCCTTTAAAGTATGTTGTCACACAATATCAAAGTTTCCAACTCTGCTATAAGAATGAAGCGCTTGTGGCCGTTTCAGTATAGTGGGTAGTACTCAGCGTTGTGGCCACACAGATAAACATGTTTTTTCCCCTGCAGTAATGTCCCAGAGACTCTATAATCAACTGATAGCAGGTTACCAGAGAGGGTATAGCTCAGTGGTAGAGCATTTGACTGCAGATCAAGAGGTCCCCAGTTCAAATCTGGGTGCCCCCTACATAGTCTGTACCTGTGTTTAATGTTATATGTACACAAGCAATAAGAAAACAATGTAGATTAAATGAGAGGAAATATAATATTCAGTCTTCCACCAATCTATCACAACACAAAACTCAGAAAAACATCTTGCCATACCGTTGACACAGATGGCACAGGGAATTCACAGGGCTAGTGGCGCAACGGATAAAGCGTCTGACTACAGATCAGAAGATTCTAAGTTCAAATCCTGGCTAGCTCGGATCCTTTGAGACAGGAAATCACTTCAACAGTACATCTCTCCAATATATAAATGAATAGTCATTGAACATCTGGTACTATGGGTTAATGGGCTTTCACCAACTGCATAAATAACCCTGAACCCTATAATGTCAAGCATTCCCAGCATTCATGGAAGCTCGTAGGGCTTTTTAGAATTACTTGTTAATCATCTGTTTTTTTCAAAAACAAAATTCGGCCCTGAATGACAAAATCCTTTAAAGTATGTTGTCACACAATATCAAAGTTCCAACTCTGCTATAAAAATGAAGCGCTTGTGGCCGTTTCAGTATAGTGGGTAGTACTCAGCGTTGTGGCCACACAGATAAACATGTTTTTCCCCTGCAGTAATGTCCCAGAGACTCTATAATCAACTGATAAGGAAATAATGTAGATTAAATGAGAGGAAATATAATATCCAGTCTTCCACCAATATATCACAACACAGAACTCAGAAAAACATCTTGCCATACTGTTGACGTAGATACTAGCGGGAAAACACAGGGCTAGTGGCGCAACGGATAACGCGTCTGACTACGGATCAGAAGATTCTAGGTTCAAATCCTGGCTAGCTCGGATGTTTGAGCAAGGAAATCACTTCAACAATACGTCTCTCCAACATCGTCATGATTAGTCACCAACTGCATTAATAACTCTAGACTCTATAATGTCCTATATCCTTTTGCCATTACTACACAGGAGGGTT